GGTGGATCAAGTAGGCCATGATGTCAGCAAGGCTACATCACAGACACAGTAATGACCTCTTTACACTTGGAAAGGTACTCCCTCTCTTCAGCCCTCATTACATGTTCTTTCACAACATGCTTTCAGGCACTCAATGTATGCAGTGTTGTTGTGATTATGTGTAAAACGGTTTTTATCCTCTCTTTTGATTTCCATTTTAGGTATAACTTGTGGATTTAGTGTAATGCTTTGCAATGAATCTCCTAACATCCCATTTACAGTCTTTCGAATGTGTTTCTCACAAGGTAAGCTCAATTTAATGTGCGTGTGTATGTTGTGGCCTTTGATTGGATGCCGTTGTGCATGAAGAAAATATCTCTTTATTACCTGGGCCCAGTTTAAAGGATGAATAACACTATCCACTGGAAAATCACCATCCAGTGGATAGCGTTGTATGTTATCAAAACACTTATAGGTGAATAGTGATTCATTCTGTGGATAGCGTCATCCACCCGTTGAACAACCAGGGCCTGGTTTTTTGGGAGTTTTTCTTCTCTTGATTTCCTCTATCAAAGTGATTTTATATTAAACGAGTCATAATAAAAGTAGGTTCATTACAATTTTTCTGCTTTTTTTTTTTGACAGGTGCCCGCCTAGTTGTCTACAACAATTCTTGCAATTTGCATTCATATTGTTTAAATCGGGATCCTGTCTTTTTCAAGAACTCTCAGTTCCTTGTGGATCGATTGCATTGGCAGGATCATACAGGTACGTAAATCACCCCAAAACTGGCTTTTTTGGTTTGGTCATCTTTAACCTTTGGTGTTCATTTAGCTATGCTCTTGGGTCTATCCCCTCCTACTAACCTAATGGCAAAGTGTGTGACATGAGTGCATAAGAAACAACTGAAGGAGTAAATTATATTTAGAAGGATAATTAATTTTGTAGGTACTTAATGAAAACAGCAGTTTGCTCTCGCAAACTCAACCAAATAAATACAAAACCTTAAAGGGGTGAGACATACTGGCATTAGCATGAGAGTGTAAGATTGAATTTGTTTGTGTGAGTCTCATGCTCAATGCATGAGACTTGAGAGCTTTAAATCAACTCAACACATTTTGCGTACTATAGCAATTTTTGCTGTTGTTTCCTTTATTTACCCAGTAATTTACAAGGACTTCTTCCATTAATGAATTTATTTATTGATGGTACTGTAAATATTTAGTGGGTTGGGAGGTTCATTGTAAAAGGAAATGACAGGATGGGGGCTGGAAGAATAAAATAACAATTCAATATTCCAAAAAGAAAAACATTTCCAAACTTGAATGTGTCTGTTCTATCTTTAGAATAATGTCCACCAACCAAGTGTCGAGCAAAAAAGTAAAATCAAAAAGTTGAATTTAATACTATTAAAATAGAAGAACTGTATTTTCAAGGGGTTTAAAAACAAAGAGACAATTGTAATGCTGTAATCAATGCTGTCTCCACTGCCTTTGGTGTAAACTTCACCAATAACTTTTTTTTTGATGAGACAAACCCCTTGAGGAGGCTATAACACTGTTTTAAAAAGCAGCTCAACAGAATTGCCCATTACTCCTGCAAAAAAAACTTCAAGTCTTTAAAGCCATCCAGAAGTACTGGTTATTAAAGAAGATGCATTTTCCTGTAATGTTTTCTAAAATGTTCCTCTCTATTGGAGCAATTAGTGCTACAAAAGAAAACATAGTTAGTACATTTCATCATGAATTATGCAGTTGAACCTGTATTAAGCTGCACCATATTTAACAGTTACCCTGTAATAAAGCAGTCAGTTGACAGTTTTTCTCCCTTAAATTACTGTAATTTTCATTTCTATTAAGTGGTCATGGTCATCCTTGATTGAGTCCCAGCTTCCTGTTTTTATTGTTTTCTACTTGCATGTGTTGAACAATCACTTAAGCAGAACCTCTCAAATAAAACTAGGAATAGTACTTTGAGTTCAAAGGTGCTCAACTTATTGCAAATTATATAATTCTGTTGGGACAAATATTATGCACAAATATTACACAAGTCAATCAGCCTATGATTATGACCTAGAGGTCCAACTGATAGATAATAGTATACAGTTATTAAATCAGCAGTATTAAAAAAGAAGCAATGGATTTCTTAGCAAGCTTTGGAGTAAACTATAAATTAAGTGATCAATTATGGCATAAAATAGGGCTTTTTAATGCATTTGACTCCTGTTCTGTACAAACTGTTTAAGTGGTCTCCTTGCAATTCCCTGTGGGTGACTGCTCAATACAGGTTTGACTTTATATGTTTGTAGCTTTCTCTTCATCAATCACTGTTACTCAACACTGATACTGTTCTCTTTTCTATGTAGGAAAGAACAACATATCATGAAAATGAAATCCAGCAAGCTGTCCAGCAACTGGAGCAGCAGTTTTTGGAGTTTGACTCATCACCAGAAAACTTATCAGCAGAAAATTTAGCCACAATTGTGGCTAATGTTATTGCTAAAAAGGCTGCTGTGACAAGTGCCACTATCAGTTATAAAATGGAAGAAATACACGATTCTTCAAAATTCAAGTACAAACGGGTCAATGTTAGTCTAGAGAATGATGAAGGAGTAAAAAATCTGCAGCTTCCAGTCATCGTTCCAAAGGAAATTCTGGAAAGTAGTGATCTTGTTACACAAGTATACTTTTCATTTGTAAATGTACTTCAGTGGTATAATTTTTTAACATTCAGACAAGTTATTTTAGGGACTATTTCCCATCATTATTTATCACTGTATTGACATTGTGAGCTAATTACATGTAGCTTTATGGACTCAAAGTTTATTTTTCTTCGTTTTAAACTTATAATTGCTAATACTTTAAATTTCTGATTAACCTCTATGAAAACAACCACTTAATTTTTCTTTCCTTTTACTGAACATTAAATTGCTAGGTTGTTGATTCTTAGAAGAAAATGTTTGTATGTAAAGGCTCGGGAAATTGTCCACTACAAATGTAATTTTTGGCATCACCTGGCATTTCTAAACAAAAGAGATATTTCTCAAGCAGGTTTGAATTAGGGTTTTCTGTGGAATTGAGTGGAAACTGGGTGTAGCCCTGCTCTGTATAGGTGTCTCTGTTGATGAGATTTTCACCCCCAAGATCTCAGTAGTAATTCTCCTTACTGTCTGCCATACAAGTTTTATGATGTTAGCTGAAAGAATTTGGTATTGGATCAACTAATATTGCCCTAATAGATATTTTTTTATTCTCATTACTTGTCTGCTTGATACTGTATTGATATTGTAAGGAGAAATTCTGTCTTTGTCAGTTATGAGAGTTAGAGGGTTTTAAAAGAGACTAAAAGATTTGTTCAATAAAAGTGTGTGGACACAAATTCTAATCACCTGCTTTTTCAAAAAAGTTTGTACAGATCAAAAGCATTCTTTCAAAAATGTGGAAAGTTACATTTTAATTCTAAAAACCTGCAAAAATCATGGAATGTGAAGGTGTTGGGAAAAAAAAAAACCAGAGGAAGTCTCATTCGTCATGTTTTTCGTAGCTGCAACAAGTGGAAATCTTTGTGAGGTTTCCTTGCCTCCTCTCCCCATTCTTTTTGCCTGTGGGATTTATTTCTTATCTCTGATTTATTTTCTGTTATTTGTGTGTGCTGAGTTCCACTGATTTCATGAATCTTGCTTTAAAAAAGGTTAACAGGTGTCCTTAAACTGGCCAGGAACCTTCTCAAGGATATATGGTACATTGATTACATGTGACTACACTTCCTTAGATATTTTACTGTTGTTTCAAGGCATGGGTTGAAAGAAGGAGGGGAAAATCATTCAATTTGAGATAGGGTATGGTTTTTTTTTTTTTAAAGGGTTACCTCATACCCTCACCTTGAGGCAGTCTCTTTGGTAAATTGGTAAATCCGGACTGATGTTGAAAAGGCTACTCTCCTTTGCCATAGCTTTCAAGTTGTGTCTAACAATTGAGGCCAAATGTATCTCAACACAAAGTTGAATTGGGTTTACAAAATTGATTGTACAGTCTTGACAAATTTGGAAGTCTGGCTCCATTTGTTAACCCTCTAACTCCCAGATCAAATTTGTAATTCTCCTAAATGTCAACCATACAATTCCTATAATGTTAGTTCAGAGAAATTAGTATTGGATCAACTTATTATCCCCAAATTGATATTTTTCTGTATTCTCATCACTTATGTAGTGGACAATGTATTGATGTTGTAAGGAGAAATTCTGTCTTGGTCTCTCATGGGAGTTAAAGGGTTAACAATAACTGGTAAGTTGAAATCTCAACTGGGTAAGTCTGATGCTTCATCAGATTTTGAATGCAAACTCTAGAACATTTATTATATTGAACAAGTAACAGGCCTTCTGTCTGAAAGCAAGATGATTTTATTTACAATTTGGTCTCATTTTTTCAATATTTTGCCCAAAGTGTGAAACTACTTGAACCGGTTCGCTTTAATGAAAAAAAAATGGCAGAGTACACGAGAAATGAAAAAAAAATCAAAAAAAGAATTGTAGAAAACATAAGAAATGAAAGAGAGAAAACCTGGCATTCTACCAGGTAATCTGTAATGTATACATTCATCTAATCCGCTTAAAATCTCACACAAAACTCCAAGCGATCAAAACATACAGAAGCATGGAGAGAATTTAGGATCGAAACTAACCAATCATAAAATGAAAAAGTTTCCTGAGAGGTCCGAGGTTTGATTGTTTTCTCTGCGGGAAGCTTTGTGTTTTTTACTTCAATGTTATTGGTTTGTTTTTTAAAAAAAAAAAGATTGACATCGTTTGTTCTCAATAAACATGTTCATTGGTTCATTTTTCTTCATTTCGATCCGGTTCAAATAATCTCGCTGCTCTGAGCGCTTCACAGAGTAAGTTTGCTTTCATTCACGATTTGAGTTGTTGGGCTGTAATTATCACTGAGCTGGTTACCTCACAGTTATTTTGAATAGTAAGTGGTTCTAATAATTTCTTTTTAGTTTTTAATTGGAATTGCTGAGGCCTAAATTAATAGCAAACAGCTAGACTGACTATTGCTTAGTAAATTACGTGCCTTTTGCTTACCTGCGTAGGTGATGTTATTTGCTGTGAGGTCTAACGTGCGTAGCTGACAGTTGTTGTTGTTGATGGCTTCAGCCAAGTGCTGTGCTCCAATGTCTGAGATTTTATTTCCTGAGAGGTCTAACATGCGTAGCTGACAGCTGTTGTTGTTGATGGCTTCAGCCAAGTGCTGTGCTCCAATGTGCGAGATTTTATTTGCTGTGAGGTTTAACGTGCGTAGCTGACAGTTGTTGTTGTTCATGGCTTCAGCCAAGTGCTGTGCTCCAATGTCTGAGATTTTATTTGCTGAGAGGTTTAACGTGTGTAGCTGACAGTTGTTGTTGTTGATGGCTTCAGCCAAGTGCTGTGCTCCTATGTGTGAGATTTTATTTGCTGAGAGGTTTAACGTGTGTAGCTGACAGTTGTTGTTGTTGATGGCTTCAGCTAAATACTTTGCTACTTCATCTGTCAAATGATTTCTTGTGAGGTTTAACCAGCTCAGTTGAGATTCCCTACATTTTAACAATTTACAAATCTCCAAACAACCTAATGGACCAATGTTATTGTAACTCAAATCTAAATGTGAAATTTGTTGAAGATTAATTACATTTACTAACGAAGAGCAATCAAGAGCTGTGAGGTCAAAATTAAAAAAATTTACAAAATTAAAGTTAATTTGTTGAAGTTTTCTCTGTGCTTCTGACTTCATTCTACTATTTTCGTTTAAACATTTCATTAATGTCACTGCTAAATATTGTTCGTCCCTAGTCGGCCAGCAGGTCACTTTCGTTTTCTCTTCATTCCATGTCCACTGTACGTTGTAGAGTTCGCTTTCTTTTTCTTCAGTTTTCACAGGAAGAAGGTCTGTGATAATTTCGCTTTGAAGGTTATCTTTATTCTCCATTAATCCTGCTACAAACTGGAAAACCAGCTGCCATTTGCCTTTCGTAATGTTCATTTGAACAAAGGTTTTTAATTCTGTTTCACTCACGTTAGTTAGGTGCTTCGCAGCGAAAAACTCCTGTATTGTGAGATGAATAAAACAGAACTGTCCTTCGCTACTAAACGAGTCAACTTCACGGTCGGGTAAGCGGTGAAATAGAGCGCTGTCCTCCATTCCGCTTACTTCGTTTGCTCCAAAGATCAGCCTTCCTTCTTTAATTCCTTCAAATGCCAATTTTTGTAGTTTCTCCAATTTTTTTTCTACTTCGGGGGGCAATTCATCTGATTCAAAGTCTTCGTCAGTGAAAGGTTCATCGCGAAATTCTTCGTTGTGTGTCAAGTAGAAAATTTTCACGGTTCTCTTGTATATGCCTGTTAAACTTGTTGGTAGGTTAAGACCTCTAGGAGCATGGAACTTCACCATTTTAAAGAGACTTGAGCAAATGATGAAGCAGCTCGCAGGAATGTAACAAAGAGATAAGATATCGATGTTGCTGGTGATGTGACGCTTTACTGTGTCGCCTGCTTCCTTGTCTTCTTCAGCAAATCTGGTTACGTATTCTTCGACTTGTTCGGGTGAGAAGCCAAGGATTTCGAACATTTTGTCAAAAGGAATTCTTTTGATGCATGAAAGAGCTGTAGGTCTTGTAGTAGTTATAACGGCTGCTCCATTAAGAAGTTTTCCAGTCGTTAGTTTGGCATAAAGCGCCGAGAGGGGCATCTTCTCGTCTACGCTGTTTTTGAATTGAGGTTTCTTATTTTCCGTGCCGATCTTTGAGTTATCTTTGAATTCATCAATTCCATCGAAAATAAGGAGAACTTGCTGCGGGTTTTTTAGGATGTAATTCCAGACTTTCCCATCCAGCTCGGGTGAGTATGTGGAGCGGGTCAGTAGCTCTCGAAGGCTAAGGTCGGTTGCAGCGTTGAATGTTCTAAATTTGACGAAGAAAGCAGCTTTAAAGTGGATTTTGTTTTTGGGTGTTTTATGGAATACTTTGTTAGATGCCCAGTCTCTGAGAATTTTTGTACAACAAAGAGTCTTTCCGATTCCGGGACGACCGACGATCAAAATGTTTTTGTTTTCGTGATTAATAATGTCCTCTGGCCCTGTCGGTGTTTCGTTGTTCACGTAGATTTGCAAATTCTTCCGTCTGTCTTCAGTAAAGTCATAATCAGCCATGTCAGGTACAACAACAAGGTTAGTGTAAATCTGATCCAGAGTCAAATGTTTAGGTGGGTGTCCTTTGCCAGGAGGACTTGGAAAAAGCGCCTGAAGTTGTGGGGGTTGATAAGTGTCGTCCATGATCATTTTCTTTGTATTCTGAATGAATTCCTGAAGCGGTAATGCTTCTTCGGGAGGATTTAGATGGGACGTTTGAAACTTTGAGTTTTGCATAAATTCCCTTTCTTTGCATGCTCTTAGAAAAATGTAGACGATTTCAATCAGAATGCCGACGACAAAAATTCCATTTACCACCAAGACAGCGTCCATCCAGGAGGTTTTCTTTATCGCTCGTTGATTGTGACAGTCGTGTAAGGTAGAGTGTTGGGCGTTGTTAGATGAATTCCCCAGCTGAGTGGTTCCATCGGTGGTTAAATAACAGTGAAACTTAGAGGGAAACCTCAAAGGATAAAGCAACTGAGTTTGTAGGATGATGAAAACAACTCCTAAAACAAGTCTTGTGGATAGTTGACAGCAGTAAGCGATAAAGAGCTTCTTTCCCGTTGATAAAGCGTTCTCTTGATCGCGTGACTGTCTCTCTGGATCGCCGTTACGAATGCTTCGCGACAGTCGATTGACTGTAGGTCTTACTATTTGGGAGTAGATAACACATACAAATACAATAAGGACGAAATTCATGATAACGAAGCCATAGACAGGCAAAGCGAATCTGTTGTACTGCTGCTGGTATTTCTCGTAACATTTTCCCCGGACGAAGTCGATGTTTTTACTTTTCCCTGCACCACAGCGGAAATCAAACCTTGGTTCGCTGTTTTCCATGTCGGCGAATATAGCAAGGAAGATGACACCAATCAGGATCCAAAAAACCACTACCACATGGTGAATTTTGCCTAAAGTTTTTGGTTCCAAATAATCTAACAGTTTTTCCACTGACATCTTGAGTGATTCTGTAGTTTCGTTTGAATACTAATTTTCCCCAATTTAAATGAATATTTTAAAAGATACAGAACTTTCTTTTGATTGGCTCTTTGAAAACCTTCAATTGTCAAAAAGGCAATGGCTCATGCAACATTTACTTGTTTTCATAAGAAACAGATATCAGACCACTAAATTAAGACGGATACAGATGCGTTCTATTTCTGGAAGATGCGCTTGACCTCCATTCGCCCCCATTTGCTCATTTTCACACTGCACTTCACTTAATTTTCAGCTCTCAAACCTGGAGTGTTAATGTTTGTTTTTTAACCAGCTTGAAGCCTGGTAAATTCTAAGCTACCAAGTATCGCTATCTTTCTGTGGCATTTCAAAAGAGATTTGAATTTTTTACTTAGAAGCTAAAACACCTGGGTGTGATGCAGGTCAAAGACTTCTTTCTTTAACGCCAGTGGGAGACGCGATGAAAGAAACACATAGTCTGTAGACTCTGTAAGGTTGGATAACGCAATGCGAGGCAAGAATTTCCGCATCAAGCTAAAACTTTGAATCGTCAAATTCCCGTTTTGAAACGAGTCTGCAGAACTGGTTCACACTTGCTTAGATTAGTAACAATAGGAACTCAAACTGTATTAAATTATTTTTGCTGTCTTATTTAGTTGTAGCTCCTCCAAAAAATTCCGTAGCATGTGAAGAGCATGCGGCGTCAAGTCCCTTTGGCTGGACGTCATCTGTTGTTCAAGGGGTTAGGAGGGCATGATTGACTGATAATTTTGGCGCCAGATTGATGCTTAAAGGAGGATTAAAGAGCTTCAGCACAGATATCGTGACAATAGCCAAGAGTGCTAATGACGTCATGAAATTTCAGTTCCCCTCGTGACTCAGACAAACAACGTTCGATCCTTATTAAATGTGACAAATAATAATTAAACGAATGGAAGGTAGTTCGCTTCAATCTTTTGCGGTTTAGATGGCTAAACAATGTTGTTAAAAAACCAAACCAAACAATTTCATGAGACTTTCGAAATGAACAACAAAGCACTTCATCATAATGCTTCCAATCAACTGAATTAACCTCTCACTGCGTTAGCCAAAACAAAAACTTTCATGTGGGTCCAAAGCAAGGTCAGTAAACAAATTAAACACGTCCACCTATGGAAGTTAGACAAGGCTGTCACAATTCGGGAACTTATCACAACAGCTCAAACCTAGATAACTTCGGAATTTGAATTCATACGAAACAAAAACAAACGGCTGCGTTGCATAGGCCTCTGGGTACAATCTTACTATAAACGAAAGATTAACTCATCCTGAATTGACTAACTAAATGACTAACTAATCATAAACTAACTAAATACTTCCTAACAGAAGGATCCAGGTACAACAAGTCTTTTGACCAGTCTCTTAGATCCTCAGTCAAATAAAAATCAAAGCTTTCAAAGCTTTTCAAAAAAAGAAAAAGCGTCCTGTTTCGAAGAAGCAGCAACAAAAGTAAACAAGCACCTCGTGCGCTAAATAGGATCATCACGGATCATTACGGTAAATCGAGAACGAGCCTCCATGCAGTAATCAGACCCTTGTGATTGCGCAAAGATTCGTGGGATCCCCACGGGGCAAAAACTGCAAGTTGTGAGAAAGGTCAGCCTGGAGAAAGGTATTCTGTAACAAAGAATAACCAAGCAGCTGCTGGTACACTTTATGACACATACACGCCACTGTAGCCGCATTCCACAAAATGGCGGATGATAGCAGCGCACCGCCTTTTCGAATATTTCCCGCCGTTCATGAAATGAATTAAGCGAGAGGAATAAAAGAAGAGGCTGGTGCAATTTTCCTAGTTTCTGCCAAAGAAGATAAGACATAGGGGATCAAAGAAGACATCTGATTTGAGTACTACGGTCACCACCTCGACTGGTCAAGATGATTTCGAAAATCCTTCTTATAAGGCGTTGCAACCTAGACCAATTTTAGATGCTTTGCTGGTAAGTCATAATTTTGCATCTATTAAAAATATTTTCGATTCTTTTTTTTTTACAGTCATTTAAAGCTTAAGTTCTTACAGCATGTACTCTATAAATTATATTCGAGTGTTTCACATGTCAGGAAAAGATCAGGAAAGAAGTCATGGAATTTTATTTTGAGTCATGGGAAGTTGGCATGTTTGAAAAAAGTCGAGGAAAACTGATATCTGTAGCAACCAAGATATTTCTCATTTGACAGACTTTTTTTTCAGCTATATATAGGAAACTGTTTCGTTCATAAGTTGTGATGAATCACACACAATGACTGTGTTAATTTTTTTATTCCTCATTATTTTCTTTTATATTGGGCTGAAGCTTATATCATTAATACCTGCTGTTTTCCAACGAGGATTTTACATGCATTTTGTAATTAAAAACAGATTTCCTATCATAGATAGGGAGCGTAAATTTCACAGCAGTTTAAATATTTACGGTGTTGTTATTTATTTATAGGATGTTTCTGATGATGAAATCATAGCAGATGGTGAATTAAGTTCTGCTTTATCCACTGACCCATGCTCTCAGACAGACCTTGTGCCTGTTACCTCACAGACCTTGTGCCTGTTACCTCACAGTTTGCATACATGTGAGAGCTGTTGAACAGCAATGCTTTTCCCATCATTGGCAGCAAGATTTCTTTGTTCACTTTTCCGGATTTTGATACAGTTACAGAGAAATTGCTTGTAAGTGCCTGGGATATTTCTCATAAATATTAAGGATAACACCTAGGTAGAGGCACTTATTATTAATATTCCCAAATCTTGGCCAGCAAGCTGATCATTGTTTATAAGTTATTTTTGTAACACTGGTGTTGATCTTTTTTTGTACTGCTAGTACTGTAGTACAAAAAGAAATGACCACAATTTATGTACTACTAGTAAGTAGACCTTTCCACCTGAGCAAGACTCAAACCTGGGTAATATTAATACATCACTGTATACATGCAATATAAAATATCCTAATTACACACCTTTGGTATTCATAATTATTTTTGATTTTGTTTAATATTTTATATCTAATGTTTAATATTTATTTATATTTTGGGTTCTCTATACTGTAGTTTCTAGTGCATCTTGTACATGAACAAGGAGGTTAGACATTCTACGACTTGGCACAAATTGTTTGTGGTTTGTACCCTTGGGGCGCATCAAAAATGTCTGTTTTTTTATTGTTTAGCACAGTAGCTATGTAGATAACTCATAACTAGATATAATGTGGTACTTATGGTTATGCCAAACAAAATCAATCATTTACCTTACATATTTTTTATCCTCTACCATCAGGAAGCCGAATATGTGATTTTTGAAAGAGAACCCAAGAATAACATTTGGATCTATCATTGCAAATGTGTTGAAAGCACAAGGCAAACAGATTATTTGCAGTCACTGTCATCAACAGTCACAGGAGATAGTAAGTACAAGCATATAAACTGATATAAATAATTTATAAAAATGCTCCAATAAAATTGTTCATCCAAGTCACAGTTTGAATGTAGACAACAACTGTATCTCATGTGCACATTCATTAAGTGCCATTCATTTCTGTTTATACATTAGGAGGCAACTGCAGTTCCCATCCTCTTTCTTACAGCTTCTCTTTTTTATTGTTGCCAATTATTTCTCCAGCCTCCTTTAAGCACCCTCGTGTGCTAGTCAAATGTTTTTTCTATGGAATTCTAACAACCTGAGTTGTGAAATGAAAGGCCCCAACTACTAGTAACAGGATAATAAGCTGTCTTCATTTAGCTATTTTGTTTTGAATCTGACCCCTGTGTCTTTGACTGTGTCCCAGGCCCTTGTGCCATAATTTTCTTCTTTGCATTTCAGTATTAAATAGAGAAATAAATTATGTCTAATAATAAGTATTGTTTATTAAATGTTTGTCACAGGTTTAACTGCAGCTAGTTCTGTTTATGGGAATTGCATCCATATTGAAGCCACTGAAAAGTTGATGAAAAGCTTTGACAGGGAAAACAACATCATCCCTTCACTTGCCAGACACACACATTCTCATGATCACACTTACCAAGTAAGATGAATGAATTTTTTGCTTTAGAACATTAAAATTTTGGAATTATTACTAACATTAATCTTGCTTTCTTCAACATTTTTCTGGTTATTTTTCACTCATCCTAATGATTTTGGTTTAAGTTAAATAATATTAGAGCATAATTTGTGTATTTAAACAGCTAGGCCCCCTTCAGAGTACAGCTATTTATGAATCTTAGTTTATTATATTCTTGGAGAAATGACAAGTGCATTATTTGCTGTAAGTAGTTGTAAACATCATATTTTTCCATTTGTATCTGTTATTTAAGTAAAGACTATCTGAAATGATTGTAGCATTTCCACAGTCTACTTACTTGTTGTTCTTACTGTTTTTCTATCTCAGGAGGAACATCATGACTTATTGCCTTTGAATGGGAATAATTTTACCATTTTTGTACATGGAAATAAACAGCATGGAGTTGTTGGCCTCCAGGGTGCACCAGGCTGAACCACAAGAAACAGGAAGATAAGTTGCTATTTATGCTTCTGAATTTTTTTGCATATTTTATGCATCATTTATCCTATTATTTTTGTTCCCAGTATGATTCAAGGAATTTTATTCTAGAGTGTGAGCATAATATAATATATTAATCTAGCTGTTGATGTGAAGACTATGACTTGATTCAGTTTGATTACTGATTAATATAATAATTTTAAATATTTTTAATCCTTCACCTTGGGCTGGCACCTTGTCGTGGTGGTGAAGCTTGTGTGTCTCATTGACCCTGCAAAGACCTTGTAATGAGTTTTTCTTTTTCTGGATCAGTTGTGGGGTTGAGACCAGACTAAGACCAGCTCCAGTTCCTCCTACATTCCACTGGGATAGACTTTTAATGTGTCTAAATATCACCTGTTTTTATTTGCCTTATTTGAAGAGATCTGCATTTAGGCTAATTATTTAATAGTTTATAACATCAATAGGCATCGTGACAGGGTTTACCTTACTGAAAAACATGTCAGGTAGATGGTGGATCAAGCAGGCTGTGATGTTAGCAAGGTTACATTACAGACACAGTAATGACTTCTTTACACCTGGAGTTGCAGTGTTGTGCACCTGCTTAAGGTAGTTTTTTTTCCTGGTGCATTTCGTTCTATGGATCTGATGTCTCTTTTCCAACACCTACCGCTGGATTTTTCAATGCATTAGGAAAAGCTTCCCTGGTGTGTGCACATCTTCCCCAATTGGACTCCTTGGAAACATTTTAATGCACACTCATTGGCAATGAACCAGTCAAGCACTGTCCTTAAGACATGCTTCTACTCCAGCAAACTTTTCCACTCCTGTTTGACATAGTTAGCATTGTGGAGGGAGATCAGCTTCCTGAGACCTTGACTGCAGTTACTATTGACCTGTTGGAATAAGCAAAGTCTCAGTTCAGCAGAAATGGATAAATACCAGATGCTGTGCAACTGGATGTACACCACACAAATGATGTAGAATACTATCCTTGCCTGCCTGTGGTAAGAAGTCGTAGTGACTATTGCCTGGATGACACAACTCCAAACATCTGCACAAAGAGGAGTACTCGACACCCATCCGTACTTCCTGGAGTTTTCTTAGTGCACTGTAAACACGGTACGATAATGTTATGAGTTTGTATTAATATTTGTATTCATTTCTATGACAAACAACATTACTTCTGATATAAAAAATGTAAATTTCAGTTCACTCTGACCCCCAACTAGCTATTGTTACCCTTTGGATATTCCAGATTATCCTGACAAGCTCCGGGTTTACGCTCTGCCTGTGGTTTTAGTTATCAGGTTTAGGTTTTTCTCAACAAGTGTCATTTTCTCGAAACACCAAAACTGTTTGTAATGTTTAGTTTCAAAAGGATAACATCTGCAGCTGTCAAGTCAAAGAATTGCACAAATTAACTGACTTACCTGTTTTGTTTTGTTTTTTTTGTTGTTTACTGACTTAATCGAAATTTTTCTCACAATTTATTGGCTAAATGGCATAATGACTTGTATAAATAAAGGTTGTTGATTTCTATTGACTAGTGATGTACCCCAGTTACACCCTCTCTTCAGCCTTCATTACATGTTCTTTCAGAACATGCTTTCAGGCACTCAATGTACACATTGTTGCTGTGATTATGTGTAAATTTATATCCTCTCTTTTGATTTCCATTTTAGTTGTAACTCATGGATTTCCTGTAATGCTCTGTAACAAATCTCCTAACATCCCATTTACAGTGTTTCAAATGCGTTTCTCACAAGGTAAGCTCAATTTAATGTGCTTGTGTATGTTGTGGCCTTTGATTGGATGCTGTTGTGCACGAAGAAAATTTCTTTTTATTACTTGGGCCCAGTTTAAAGGATGAATAACACTATCCACTGGAAAAATCACCATCCAGTGGATAGTGTTGTATGTTATCACAACACTTATAGGTGAATAGAGATTCATTCTGTGGATAGCATTGTGTTGCACTGCAGTTTGTCTTTTTCCTGTTGAATGATAATCAGGCGCTCTCCTTTTTGATGAGATGTTATGTAACCCTTTAACTCAGATCAAATTTCTTATTCTCCTTACTGTCCACCACACAATTCTTATCGTGTTAATTCAGAGAATTTAGTATTAAATCAACTAATTATCCCCAAATTGATATTTTCTTTATTCTCATCACTTATCTGGTTGATATTGTATTGATATTGTAAGGAGAAATTCTGTCTTGGTCACTCATGGGAGATAAAGGGTTATGGAGGTTCAATGTAAAAGGAAATGACAGGATGGGGGCTGGAAGAATAAAATAACATTTCAATATCCCAAAAAGAAAAACATTTCCAAACTTGAATGTGTCTGTTCTATCTTTCAAATAATGTTCACCAACCAAGTATCAAGCACGAAAACAAAATCAAAAAGTGAAATCTAATACAATTAAAATAGAGGTACTGTATTTTCAAGGGGTTTAAAAACAAAGAAACAATTGTAATACTGTAATCAATGCACCTCCACTGCCTTTGGTGTAAACTTCACCAATAACTATTTTTTTTGATCAGGCAAACCCCTTGAGGAGGCTATAACTTACACTGTTTTAAAAAACAGCTCAACAGAATTGCCCATTACTCCTGCAAAAACAACCTCAAGTCTTTAAAGCCATCTAGAAGTACTGGGTATTAGAGAAGATGCATTTTCCTGTAATGTTTTGTAAAATGTTCCTCTTTATTGGAGCAATTAGTGCTACAAAAGAAAACATAGTTAAACATGTCTATTTCATCATGAAATGGCTGATCATTATACAGTTGAACCTGTATTAAGCTGCACCATATTAAACAGTTACCCTGTAATAAAGTGGTCAGTTGTCAGTTTTTCTCCCCTAAATTACTGTAATTTTCATTTCTATTAAGTGGTCGTGGTCATCCTTGATTGAGTCCCAGCTTCCTGTTTTTATTGTTTTCTACTTGCATGTGTTGAACAATCACTTAAGCAGAACCTCTCAAATAAAACTAGGAATAGTACTTTGAGTTCAAAGGTGCTCAACTTATTGCAAATTATCTAATTCTGTTGAGACAAATATTATGCACAAACATTACACAAGTCAATCAGCCTATGATTATGACCTAGAGGTCCAACTGATAGATAATAGTATACAGTTATTGGATCAGTATCAGTATCTGGGTAACTGCCCACCTACCCCTCCCCTAACCCAACATTAACCTTAACTTGTTGTTAATTGACTGTTGTTGAGCTAGGGGAGGGGTAGGTGAGCAGTTGCCCAGATACTGATATTGATCCCAGTAATTCTGCATCAGTGTTCTTTTTTTATGTTGTGTCACCATTTTGTTGATTCTTTTTACTGGTATTAACAAACAGGCATGGATTTCTTAGCAAGCTTTGGAATAACCAATAAATTAAGTGATCAATTATGGCATAAAATAGGGCTTTTTAATGCATTTGACTCCTGTTCTGTAAAAACTGTTTAAGTGGTCTCCTTGCAATTCCCTGTGGGTGACTGCTCAATACAGGTTTGACTTTATGTGTTTGTAGCTTTCTCTTCATCAATCACTGTTACTCAGCACTGATACTGTTCTCTTTTCTATGTAGGAAAGAACAACATATCACGAAAATGAAATCCGACAAGCTGTCCAGCAACTGGAGCAGCAGTTTTTGGAGTTTGACTCATCACCAGAAAACTTATCAGCAGAAAACTTATCAGCAGAAAATTCAGCCACAATTGTGGCTAATGTTATTGCTAAAAAGGCTGCTGTGACAAGTGCCACTATCAGTTATAAAATGGAAGAAATACACAATTCTTCAAAATTCAAGTACAAATGGGTCAATGTTAGTCTAGAGAATGATGAAGGAGTAAAAAATCTGCAGCTTCCAGTCATTAATCCAAAGGAAATTCTGGAAAGTAGTGATCTTGTTGCACAAGTATACTTTTCAGTTGTAAATGTACTTTGGTATAATTTTTTAACATTCAGACAAGTTATTTTAGGGAGTATTTCCCATCATTATTTATCACTGTATTGACATTGTGAGCTAATTACATGTTGCTTTATGGACTCAAAGTTTATTTTTCTTCTTTTTAAACTTATAATTGCTAATACTGTAAATTTCCGATTAACCTCTATCAAAACATCCACTTAATTTTTCTTTCCTTTTACTGAACATTAAATTGCTAGGTTGTTGATTCTTAGAAGAAAATGTGTGTATGAAAAGGCTCAGGAGATTTGTCCACTACAAATATAATTTTTGGCATCACCTGGCATTTCTAAACAAAAGAGATATTTCTCAAGCAGGTTTGAATTAGGTTTTCTGTGGAATTTAGTGGAAACTGGGTGCAGCCCTGCTCTGCATAGGTGTCCCTGTTAATGAGATTTTCACTCTCAAGATCTCAGTAGTAATTCTCCTTACTGTCTGCCATACAAGTTTTATGATGTTAGCTGAAAGAATTTGGTATATGATCAACTAATATTGCCCTAATGGATGTTTTTTTAATTCTCATCACTTGTCTGCTTGATACTGTATTGATATTGTAAGGAGAAATTCTGTCTTTGTCAGTTATGAGAGTTAGAGGGTTTTAAAAGAGACTAAAATATTTGTTCAATAAAAGTGTTTGGACACAAATTCTAATCACCTGCTTTTTCAAAAAAGTTTGTACAGATCAAAAGCATTCTTTCAAAAATGTGGAAAGTTACATTTTAATTCCAAAACCTGCAAAACTCATGGAATGTGAAGGTGTCGGGAAAAAAAAAAAACAAAAACAAAAAAAAACCAGAGGAAGTCTCCTTTGTCATCTTTTTTCATAGCTGCAACAAGTGGAAATCTTTGTGAGGTTTCCTTGCCTCCCCTTCTCATTCTTTTTGCCTGTGGGATTTATTTCTTATTTCTGATTTATTTTCTGTTATTTGCGTGTGCTGAGTTCCACTGATTTCATGAATCTTGCTTTAAAAAAGGTTAACAGGTGTCCTTAAACTGGCCAGGAACCTTCTCAAGGATATATGGTACATTGATTACATGTGACTACACTTCCTTAGATATTTTACTGTTGTTTCAAGGCATGGGTTGAAAGAAGGAGGGGAAAATCATTCAATTTGAGATAGGGTATGGGGTTTTTTTTTAAGGATTGCCTCATACCCTCACCTTGAGGCAGTCTCTCTGGTAAATTGGTAAATCCGGACTGATATTGAAAAGGCCACACCCCTTCGCCATAGCTTTCAAGTTGTGTCTAACAATTGAGGCCAAATGTATCTCAACACAAAGTTGAATTTGGTTTACAAAATTTATTGTACAGTCTTGACAAATTTGGAAGTCTGGCTCCATTTGTTAACCCTCTAACTCCCAGATCAAATTTGTAATTCTCCTAAATGTCAACCATACAATTCCTATAATGTTAGTTGAGAGAAATTAGTATTGGATCAACTTATTATCCCCAAATTGATATTTTTCTTTATTCTCATCACTTATGTGCTGGACATTGTATTGATGTTGTAAGGAGAAATTCTGTCTTGGTCACTCATGGGAGTTAAAGGGTTAACAATAACTGGTAAATTAAAATCTCAACTGGGTAAGTCTGATGCTTCATCAGATTTTGAATGCAAACTCTACAACAGTTATTATATTGCACAAGTAACAGGCCTTCTGTCTGAAAGCAAGATGATTTTATTTACAGTTTGGTCTCATTTTTTCAATATTTTGCCCAAAGTGTGAAACTACTTGAACCGGTTCGCTTTAAAAAAAAAATGGCAGAGAACACGAGAAATGAAAAAAAATCAAAAAAAGAATTGTAGAAAACACAAGAAATGAAAGAGAGAAAACCTGGCATTCTACCAGGTAATCTGTAATGTATATATTCATCTAATTCGCTTAAAATCTCACACAAAACTCCAAGCGATCAAAACATACAGAAGCATGGAGAGAATTTAGGATCGAAACTAACCAATCATAAAATGAAAAAGTGTCCTGAGAGGTCCGAGATTTGATTGTTTTCTCTGCGGGAAGCTTTGTGTTTTTTCTTCAATGTTATTGGTTCGTGTATTAAAAAAAAAAAAGGTTGATATCGTTTGTTCTCAATAAACATGTTCATTGGTTCATTTTTCTTCCTTTTGATCCGGTTCAAATAATCTCGCTACTCTGAGCGCTTCACAGAGTAAGTTTGCCTTCATTCACGGTTTGAGTTGTTGGGCTATCATTATTACTGAGCTGGTTACCTCACAGTTATTTAAAATAGTAAGTGGTTCAAATAATTTCTTTTTAGTTTTTAATTGGAATAGCTGAGGCCCAAAGAATTAGCTGACACTTAGACTGACTATTGCTTAGTAAATTACGTGCCTTTTGCTTACCTGCTTCTGTGATGTTATTTAATGTGAGGTTTAACGTGCGTAGCAGACAGTTGTTGTTGTTGATGGCTTCAGCCAAGTGCTGTGCTCCAATGTCTGAGATGTTATTTGCTATGAGGTTTAGCGTGCGTAGCTGACAGTTGTTGTTGTGGATGGCTTCAGCCAAGTGCTGTGCCCCAGTGTCTGAGATGTTATTGGATGTAAGGTATAACGTGTGTAGCTGACAGTTGTTATTATTGATGGCTTCAGCTAAATATTTTGCTGCTTCATCTGTCAATTGATTTCTTGTTAGGTTTAACCAGCTCAGTTGAGATTCTCTACATTTTAACAATTTACAAATCTCAAAACAACCTAATGGACCAAAGTTATTGACACTCAAATGTGAAATTTGTTGAACATTAATTACATTTACTAACGAAGAGCAGTCAACAGCTGTGAGGTGACAAACAATAAAATTTACACAATTAAAATTAATTTTTTGAAGTCTTCTCTGTGCTTCTGACTTCATTCTACTATTTTCGTTTAAACATTTCATTAATGTCACTGCTAAATCTCGTTCGTCTTCAGTCGGCCAGCAGGTCACTTTCGTTTTCTTTTCATTTTCTGTCCACTGTACGTTGAAGTCTGCGCTTTCTTTTTCTTCAGTTTTCACAGGAAGAAGGTCTGTGATAATTTCGCGTGGTAGGTGTTTTTTATTCTTCATTAACCCTGCGAGAAACTGAAAGACCAGCTGCCATTTGCCTTCCTTAATGTTCTTGGAGACAAAGTTCTTTAATTTTCTTTTACTCATGCTTACTAGGTGCTTCGCAGCGAAAAACTCCTGCATTGTGAGATGAATAAAACAGAACTGTCCTTCGCTACTAAACGAGTCAACTTCACGGTCGGGTAGGCGGTGAAATAGAGCGCTGTCTTCCATTCCGCGTACTTCGTTTGCTCCAAAGATCAGCCTTCCTTCTTTAATTCCTTCAAATGCCAATTTTTGTAGTTTCTCCAATTTTTTTTCTTCTTCGGAGGGCAATTCATCTGATTCAAAGTCTTTGCGAGTGAAAGGTTCATCGCGAAATTCTTCGTTGTGTCTCAAGTAGAAAATTTTCACGGCTCTCTTGTATATGCCTGTTAAACTTGTTGGTAGGTTAAGACCTCTAGGAGTATAGAACTTCACCATTTTAAAGAGACTTGAGCAAATGATGAAGCAGCTCGCGGGAATGTAACATAGAGATAAGATATTGACGTTGCTGGTGATGTGACGCTTTACTGTGTCGCCTGCTTCCTTGTCTTCTTCAGCAAATTTGGTTACGTATTCTTCGACTTGTTCGGATGAGAAGCCAAGGATCTCAAGGATTTTGTGAAAGCGAATACTTTCGACGCATGACAGAGCTGTAGGTCTTGTTGTAGTTAAAACTGCCGCCCCTTTGAGAAGTATTCCAGTCGTTAGTTTGGCATAAATAGCCGAGAGGGGCATCTTCTCGTCTACGCTGTTTTTGAATTGTGGTTTCTTATTTTCCGTGCCGATCTTTGAGTTATCTTTGAATTCATCAATTCCATCGAAAATAAGGAGAACTTTTTGCGGGTTTTCTAGGATGTAATTCCAGACTTCCTCATCCAGCTTGTTCCTGGGTGAGTATGTGGAGCGGGTCAGTAGCTCCCGAAGACTAAGGTCGGTTGCAGCGTTGAATAATCTGAATTTGACGAAGAAAGCAGCATCAAAGTGGATTTTGTCATCGGGTGTTTTATGGAATACTTTGTTAGATGCCCAGTCTCTGAGAATTTTTGTACAACAAAGTGTCTTTCCGATACCGGGACGACCGACGATCAAAATGTTTTTGTTTTCGTGATTAAGAATGTCGTCTGGCCCTCTCGGTGTTTCGTTTTTAATACCCGACCTGGCGTAGATTTGCAAATTCTTCCGTCTGTCTTCAGTAAAGTCATAATCAGCCATGTTAGGTACAACAACAAGGTTAGTGTAAATCTGATCCAGAGTCAAATGTTTAGGTGGGTGTCCTTTGCCAGGAGGACTTGGAAAAAGCGACTGGAGTTGTGGGGGTTGGTAAGTGTCGTCCATGATCATTTTCTTTGTATTCTGGATGAATTCCTGAAGCGGAGATTTTACGAGTTGTTCAGGCCCGCTTGGCAGATGTGGGGTGTTTGTTTCATGTTCTGTCCGTTCTTGCTGCTGAACTTCATGTGAGATGTTTACTACAAGTTCTATTCTTTCTTCTAGCTGCTGGGGTTCTTCGGAAGGATTTAGATGAGATGTTTGAAACTTAGAGTTTTGCATGAAATCCCTTTCTCTGTATGCCCTAAAAAAATGTAGACGATTTCAATCAGAATACTAACGACGAAAGTTCCATTTAACACAAAGACAAAGTCCATCCAGAAGGTTTTCTTTGTCGCTCGTTGATTGTGACAGTCGTGCAAAGTAGAGTGTTGGGCGTTGTTAGATGAATTCCTTGGCTGAGTGGTTCCATCGGTTAAGTAACAGTGAAACTTAGAGGAAAACTGTGAAGGATAAAGCAACTGAGTTTGTAGGATGATGAAAACAACTCCTAAAACACGTTTTATGGATAGTTGACCGCAGTAAGCGATAAAAAGCTTCTTTCCCGTTGATAATGGGTCGTCTTGATCGCTCGACTGTCTCTCTGGATCACCATTACGAATGTTTCGCGACAGTCGATTGACTGTAGGTCTTACTATTTGGGAGTAGATAACACATACTAATATAATAAGGACAAAATTTATGATTACGAAGCCGTAGACAGGCAAAGCGAATTTGTTGTACTGCTCCTGGTATTTCTCGTAACATTTTCCCCGGACGAAGTCGATGTTTTTACTTTTCGCTGCGCCACAGCGGAAATCAAACCTTGGTTCGCTGTTTTCCATTTCGGCGAATATAACAAGGGGGATGACACCAATCAGGATCCAAAAAACCACTACCACATAGTGAATTTTGCCGAAAGTTTTTGGCTCCAAATAATCTAATAGTTTTTCCACAGACATTTTGAGTGATTCTTTAACTTTCGTTTGAATACTGATTTTCTCCGGTTTAAATGAATTGCTAATTTGATCATAGCATATTTATGAGATGCAGAACTTTCGTTTGATTGGCTCTTTGAAAACTTTCAATTGTCAAAAGGGCGATGGCTCATACAACGTTTACTTGTTTACATAAGAAACAGATATCAGACCACTAAATTAAGAAGGATACAGATGTGTTATTTCAGAAGATGCACTTGACCTCCATCCATCCATTCGCCCCTATGTGCTCATTTTTACACACTTACCCTGTGGACTTCACTTAATTTTCAGCGCGGTTATTTTGCAGCTTGAAGCCTGCTAAATTCTAAGCTACCAAGTATCGCCATATTTTTGTGGTATTTACTTCAACAGAGATTTGTATTTCTTACTTAGAAGCTAAAACACCTAGGTGTGATGCAGGTCAGAGACTTTTTCCTTTAACACCAGTGGAAGACGTGATGAAAGAAACAATTAGACTGTAGACTCTGTGCATTTAGGCTAATTATTTCATATTTTATGACATCACTTGGCATCGTGCCAGGTTTACCTTGCTGAAAAACATGTCCGGCAGATGGTGGATCAAGTAGGCTGTGTTGTTAGCAAGGCTACATTACAGACACAGTAATGACCTCTTTACACCTGGAGTTGCAGTGATGTGCACCTGCCTTAGGTGGTTTTCTTTCCTGGTGCATTTCGTTCTATGGATCTGATGTCTCTTTTCCAACACCTACTGCTGGATTTTTCAATGCATTAGGAAAAGCTTCCTGAGTGTGTGCACTTCACCCCCAATTGGACTCCTTGGAAACATTTTACCACAGACTCATTGGCAATGAATCAGTCAAGCAGTGTCCTGAAGACATGCTTCTACTCCAGCAAACTTTTCCACTCCTTATCCACCCGTTGAACAACCAGGGCCTGGTTTTTTGGGAGTTTTTCTTCTCTTGATTTCCTCTATCAAAGTGATTTTATATTAAACGAATCATAATAAAAGTAGGTTCATTACAATTTTTCTGCCTTTTTTTTGACAGGTGCCCGTCTGGTTATCTACGACAACTCTTACAATTTGCTTTCGTATTGTTTAAATCGGGATCCTGTCTTTTTCAAGAACTCTCAGTTCCTTGTGGATCGATTGCATTGGCGGGATCATACAGGTACGTAAATCACCCCAAAACTGGCTTTTTCGGTTTGGCCATCTTTAATCTTCGGTGTTCGTTTAGCTATGTTCTTGGGTCTATCCCCTCTTACTAACCTAATGGCACATTACACGCATTTATTGAAGCACATTCGACGTAATATGTTAATCTTAACTTTGTCAGTACCAATGCAAAGCAATCGAACATGCTTTTTTTTCTTTTTCAGGTTACTCTGAGGCTTACAACCTCTCCCGTTACCCTCAGTGGGACACCTTAAACAGTCAGGCAGCAGAACAAGCCTATTCAAGCTTGAAGTCTTTCAAAGGATTCTTGTCATACATAAACGAAAAGAACTTCATGAATCATTGTATATTTTTCATTTGGTATCGAAATTCGCTACGGCGTAAGCAGCTCGAGTCCCAAGGTGTAGCAATGTAATTTGCGATAAGTTTTATGGGATGAATAATTAATTCGACTGATTTGAACAGGTCGGCGGCCGCTGTATAACGAATAGTCTCTAGTTTGTCGATACATTTCAGGCTTTATCTTGAATGAGAATTAACCTTTATTTAAGTTTCTTTCAGTTCCTATTTATTAACAACTTTGGTTTTTAGCGTGGTAATACAGTGCGTCTTTAAATTAGTTTCGACAGGCCGGCCAATGCAAAACGGCCTGTCTTGTTTTATTTCGAACATTCCCGCCCTTTTCAATACCTTTCTCGCTTGCATCTTGTATGAGAATTAATCGTTTTGAAGTTTCTTTTAAGTTTGTTTCATTTGGCGACCGTTAATTGGGAATTTGAGGCTTCATCTCATAAAGTAATTGTTCTCTTGTTTTTCTTTATTTTCACATTTCGGTATTTTCTCGCGCAGCGTAGAAATGATTTGATGGTTTCTACTCTCTGTTTTCCTTTGATTTTTCCGTGTTTTATTTTTTGTTGTTGCCGTGAGCTAATTTTGGACACCTTTAGTTCATTTTATTTTATCGGGAATTTATCTCACTGCGTCTCAAGATCATTTGAGGTGCCGTGAGCAGATTTTGCAGTGTCACAAAAGTATTTAGTTTGGCCGTAGGCGATTTTAATTCAACACTGATGATCCACTAGAAACTGTACTTTTAATATTTTAGCCGCTTATTTACCAGAATGTAAAAAAATATTCTTATGTGCAGTAAACAATTCATAACTGTGGGCTCGGCTTTTACGCTTGCCTAAATTTATATATTAACAAGACTAAATGATAGAAAATAGTTTCTTGCCTTTTGTTTCCCTTTCTTATCAAGATATTAGTAACACTTGACTGACTACAAGGCTGTTCCATTGCAATGTAAATGATTTTCTTAAGTCAGATAAAGTTTCAACTTTTTTGTTCTCGTAACGTTATCATTTAGGGTTATTTCGAGTAATTTAAAAATATTTATCAAATGAGTTGAGCCTTTTCTGTGATGCGGTTTCGTTTAAATACCCCTCCAGTTTTGGTACAAATGCTTTTGATGGATAGATTTACCGCATTAAGGAAACAAGGCTGCATAGAAAGGGTACATCGTATCGGAAGTTTGAAGACGAGGAATTTTTCTCATTGGTTTAGAGAAGTGACCTGGTGTAGCACCTAATAATTATTTCATTTTGAATAACTTAGGACGTATAACCACCAACTACTGTATTGTTTTCTTTAAATTTATTCCTGTTATTGAGGGTTTTAAATAACCAAACCACCGCACTATTTGTATCAAACATAAGAAAATACACGATAAAATACGCGAAGTTAAGAGCGGACTGGATTCAATTTCCTGAAGCACCTAGATCAAAACTTTCGCCAGTTTGATATGTGGTGTGTCATGATGATGTCATAAAACCGACAATTATGTTTGGCAAAGTGAGCCTAAAACTATCAATGAAGTTGCTGCCGAAACACGACTACTTTGACAGAAAATTGATGCTCTAAAATAACTGAGATCCTTTTTTTCCATGTTGAACTTGATTATGGTCTGAAAGATAAGAAGAAAAAGCGTTAACTTTTTAGGCAATTGTGGTTTAAGATAACTTCCGAAATAAAAAACGGTTTGCAGTGTACACCATCTGGAAATATAGCATACTGGAAACCTGTCAACTCAAAAAGTTACACGTAAAACACTGGCAAGTTTGGAGGTGACCGTCACAGATGAGGCTTGTCATAAAAAACTCCTTTTTTAAGCTGGAAAAGTCGCGGTAAATAATTGAAAGATTAAAATACGATAAGTCTTCAGATACTTAACCATAAGCCGTGCCGTTCTAGAAACAACTTCAAATACAATACTTCTGGGAGCATCATATCCATAAAGAGCCGGGTCTGTCGTAAGTGAAGCAATGATAGGCATTGCAACTGCTGTCATGCGCTCGGCCATAGTATCAACCTGTTTGTTTGAAAACGAAAGGATCATAATGTCAATAGGAACTAGATAAAAAACGCAAAGGTCGCTTTACTTTTTTGTTAGTTTTAAACACCCTGCATGTTGTGTACCATGATAGCCGAAAATCGCGAAACTAAACTAAACTAAGGCCGTGCGAGCATATTGTTTTGCTTTTTTTTTGCGTTATGCGGAATAATGGCATTCAAACAATCATATTTTAAAGAACACTGAAAAAACGAAATTACGTCGCAAAGCAACTTGTGCCTGCACACAATCAGTAATTGTCCATGTCCTACAATCGATTCTAAGTATCGCAATTCTTTTTGTTAAGATATTTTTAAATCTACAAGTGGATTTACCGCGTGTCCTCCGAGGGTACAGTTGCTGCCAACCTCATCAAGTCTCGGTGCGATAAAAGACGATGTTCGGTGTTCAATGGTAACCTTAATGAAGGTATACTTAGGAGCTCTGTTGTTTATTTCTGAAAATAAAAGGAAGCAATGGAAACTTTAACCTTTAATTTAGATTTGATAAAATCTTTAAAATAAGTGTATCTTTAACGTACAAACCTTCAAATACGCCTTCGTTAGAAACCGTAGAATGCTACCTTGGTTTGAGTACACCGATCTACAAAATATAATAGATAAAATGAACAGTACGCTACGTTTAAAAACATTATAAACGAGCCAAAACAAAAAAGTAGCAGAGAAAGTACAGTGCAATCAAGATTTTTTCGAACATT